CAGATATATGGAATTAATGGATGGGCTGCTGGAGGAGTACCCTGGTGAAACGATTCAGTCCTACAGGACAAACCAAGACATGCTGGAATATTTTTTCTGTAATTCGGCGCGAACGCCCAAAAAAAAGGACTAAACCAGTGATAAAGCTTATCAAATGTCTAATTGAACTTCAAAAAATTTTTTGGGAAAGCAGACGATCTACCACAGACGATTACCATTTTGTAAAATTGTTGGACTACAGCACGGAAGACCAATCCGAAGAAGATTTGGCCTAGATGGTGTGATATTCAACGATGTAGTCACTGGCCAACTAGCAAGGAGGAGGACTACATCTGTCTACTCACGGGCTATGCACTAGACCAGTACATACGCGAGCATCTGCGTTGTCAAGAATGTTTAGAAGACCTCACCAAAAGAATAGAAGATGCAAATAACCCAAGAGACTTGGCCAGCGAAACCCACCAATATCTAAAACCAGAATTTGCAAAGCCCGAAGTATATCAGGCATTTCGTGACGCCTGCAACATATAAAAGTTCGTGATGATGTAGCATACGGTAGAAGAAAACATCGACAAGCGCCTGCAGGAAACAATACTAGCACGGGTTGCCTTCTTCAGGGACGCAGGCTCCTGTCCCGACGGAAGAAGCCACCGAACAAATCTGCTAGGCTTGATGATCAATTTGCAGCTGACGGGGGTAAACTGGGTGCAAAAAACTGTGAAACATGTGTCTTCGTTTTAAAGGAACATAGGGCGGAAAACGTAACAAAGTAAAGATAATTAAAATGTTATATGAATTCTTGTAAATTACTTATTTTTTGTTTTCTATTTCAGAATAGGATAGGTACGCCCACGAAATCGGAATGGGATGGAGAATCGGGCTCGAAGAACCGCAAGTAAAAGGTAAATCAAATATAATAGATATATATTAATATTGTTACGAAAATGCCAAATCCAATTAATTTCAGCTAAGTGACTTTCCCTAATATTAAATTCCCTAAAGAAGGAAAAACCAAATAAGCGTTCGCAGGCGCCTCATGCAACTACAGGCCGATGAAAACGATTAGAGGAAACGCAAGCTGGGATTAGAAATTAAACCATAAATTTAAATAAAAATGTATGTAAATAGAATATTTGTGGAAGGGAGAAATAGTCGGGCAAGAACATTTGAGATGAGAGTACCGCCAAAATAAATTGTAAATAAATTATCCTACTGTTAAGGAATATAATTGCAAATCAAAGAACTTTGAAGTGTATTTCTCTTGAATAAAATATCCGCGATCTAGTGATACGGACTGTATCTTAGTAAAAGCGAATTTCATAACTATAACTTACTTACTTATAACATGTAACTTACGCTCAAATTTTTTTCTTTAGACTAAGATGTCCGCCATCAAAATGAAATCAATGGACAATCGGGCTTGAAGAACCGCAAGTAAAAGGTAAATCAATTATAATAGAAATAATTAGTATATTTGTAACTTGCATTCAAAAACAGAAGAAACCGAAGATCTTGAAACAACCAAAAATGCTATTGAAAAGGATTGCGCAGACGATGATTACACAAATGCTGAGAAACTAGAAATGCTTACAAGTTCCTTAATATCCTCGGTAGGCATGCGATCTTGTGTTCGTTTTTACTGCGTTGCTGAGGAAGTAGGTGCCACCAGTTTATTAGAATATTACTCGGGTTTACTTTCGATACATTGGGATGATTTGACGCCACAAGACTTTGAACATATGTCCGGACCTTTGCTATTTAAAATGTTGAAGAGTAAAACAAAATATCCATTGCAAGCTGCCGTACGTTTACAGAAAGAAGATGTTGTATTTTTGTGTTTAGTGGAAAATGAGGCGAAGGTAAGTAATCAAAGTTGAAATATGCATGCAAGCCGAATCCAAATATCGCTACAACATTACACCTTATAAAATATTTTATTTTATTTCAATTGTTTATTACTAGAAGTATGGAAAATGTCGTAAGTTGGCATAACGGTATTATCAGCCGTTTCGCTGAATTACATAAATCGCTTCCGCAATAGCAAAGTGTTTTTACAGACGCCGTCAAAACATTTTCATTCCATTAGCATAGGATCCTTTTGCTTCAAAAAAGTCACTATGTAAATGCCTTATTATGCTTACACATGTAAAATACAATAAGTTAGTTTTTGAACCCATATGATTTTGCTAGAATAGTACGATGCAAGCTATGTGTATCTTGTTTAAGGGGCTGCCACAATGGCAGCTGACGCAATCTATTTTCGGTTTAAAAACTTCCAAGTGGAAACACAATGATCCGGCTTTCCTACTGACAGCAATAATCCGCCGATACAAATTTTCAACAACATATTGATCGTACAAAGCGAAGAAAATATAGGGCGGGAAAATGTCCTAGAATACGTCGGAAGATAGCTGAACTAACAAAAGCCATAACGAAATTTGCTGACACTTATTTTAATCCCCACGGAAAACCAACTGGAGATGCTCTTATCGCAACGTTAACGCGTAAGGATAGGGAGCTTAACGATCCTGTACCTCAATGTGAAATGGTTACATTCTTGAAAGGAGATGAAATTCCACCATTGGATATACACATGTATGAACCTGAAAACGTGGATCTAACTTATGATATATATGGAGTAAGTGTACAAATGCTTTAAGGATAAAAATTCGATTCACACAATTTCGCTAAAAGTAAATCGCGAGTCCGTAAAATCAGTAGAATTTCAAAGGATAAATGAAAATGAGGTTTCTTTTGACCAATTTTACCTAATTCAATGCAGTTTTAGCATGCTTTTTAAATCACTCATAGCTGCATCTATTTTAGCGCAAGCGTACAATCCATCTTCGCAATCCTTTTCAAATTAATGCGTAGTAAAGATATCGCCGTCGTGGTATAATCCTTACGAAGCAAAGCACGTAAGTTATCTTTAAAAGTACAAGCCCTTCTATCTAGTATTTTATAACTTTTATTTCATTTTTGAAGGTTTTCCTGCAGCAATGGCTAACAGTGTTTGAATTTTGTTTGTGAACGAAGTTGATTTAAAGCAAGAGAGCACATGTTAGTTGAAATTTCCGTGATTTGAAACTTTTGAAGAAATGAAAAGACGGAATGAAGAGACAAGCAAGCACTGGTTGGAAAAGGCAGAACACTTACCGATCTGACACACCCCTACTAAACTCCGTCTATTTCCTATCTCTCATTCTCTCTCCCACTTTCTTCGCGTCCCTTTGTGACCATCAACGCATTACACGACAAGTGGACATCCCTTAAATGATTTGGGCTCATTTTTGTTTTTTTTTCCTTCTAAACGGAGATCAGTGTGTAAAGATATCCACACAGAATGCAACGTTCTTTAAGCAGTAGTTCAACAACCATACATACAATGTTTAATGACCATTTAGCCGTAAAAAAGATCATTTCTCATAATATGGAGAATAAAGCTTCGTTTTAAAAAGTCGTTGCATGAAAAAATAGTCTAACGTCTTAGTGGAAGCTGAGTAATAGTGTTTGAGCAACTGGAAAACGTTGGATCGCATGGAATAATTTTTTGAACCTCTTTTGGAATGGTATTAAAATGGTATTTTTAAATGTTCTCAATATTTTCTTTATTTATTAAATTGAACTTACCACAATTTTGTAATAGTATAACATTTTTCAGAGCGAATCTGTATTTACAACAATGATAATATAGTTGGATTTTTCGTGTTTTTGATAGACATCTTTAGATATTCATTAAACAGTCTTAAACAGTTGTAAACACTTTGTTAAAATAGCGAAATTCTGGATCGAAAGTATATAAAATGTCATTAAAAAGTCTTATACAGTTGGAAACAGTTGTAAACACTTTGTTAAAATACCGAAATTCCAGATCGAAAGTTTATAAAATGTCGTTAAACAGTCTTAAACATTTGTAAACACTCTGTTAAAATAGCGAAATTCCCGATCGAAAGTGTATAACATGTCATTAAACAGTCTTAAACAGTTGTAAGCACTTCGTTAATCTTTTTGCCATATTTTACCCTAATTAAGAATATGCGTCCGCGTATTAATATTATTATTTCAATAGTAGATCTAGTGAGATGCGTGTAAAAAAAAAATTTCCATGTCTCTGGAAAAAGACTCTTTCAATTTTTTAGCTCGATTTCTGGCGATATGAAATACCCATTATGCTATCAAATACTCTTTATGCTATCAAACTATGAAAATTTATGGTATTTTTACAAAATCGAAAGTGTACAGATCGTAATGTTTTTAATTGCATATGAGCAATAGTGTAAATGTGTATGTAGGTTAAAACGATCATATATGCTTCGCTCAATGCGATCATATATGCTTCGTGTATGCTATGTTTCTTTTCCTCAACACACACAAAAATTTGTTTTCATAGACGGCTTCTCAAACATAGCGCCATACGGAAATTTAATGGTCCTTATTACTTGCTTTTCATTTCTTACATAATTTTACACGGTATGAACCAAAATTGGAAATCGCTTAATATAAAAAAATTTACATAAGCGTAAGATAACCATAAATTAGATAAATAACATTAAAAAGCAAAATGATATTTTACTTACATTGTTTAACCATTTCATTAATCCAGGTTATGTAGTAGAAAATCCAATAAACAAACCTTTTCGCTTTGCACCGAATATAATGAAATGACCTACAACATTTTTGCACGTGAGTTTATTAATAAAGACCTTTTTCAACTTTACTGCATTAATAAACAAAAAGTAACAACTGACATCCTGACTGCTAAATGCTCAATGCTACTAAAAGTATACAATATTAAGATTTCCAAGGCATGAGATTTAATTACAAAAAATGAAAAACCATCTCAACGAAATCGGCAAAAAAATATTATTATAAAATTAGCGACGTTTGAAAGCGTATCGTTGCTGCAATGCGACATGTTTTACTTTTAGCGAAGATTAAATATTATTTAATAGGTAATTAGATTAGGTTTGGCAACCCGGCTATTACAGGCAATAAGTAAAGAATTGGCAACACTATTTAACTCGAATGCATAAAAAAAGACCTAAACCGCTCTAAATTCTGTTTCAATGGTCTGTAAATTTTTATATTGTAGCCTGTAAAGTTTGATTCTAATTTGGTTAGTTAAAGTCATTAAAAAGAGGAGCAAAGGGAAAGGAAAACGTATAATGGCGACAACAGAAACACAAATTGTTGTAAACACGAATTTGCAAAAGCAAGACCTTAACAATTTGGTAAGTTGGATTGTTGCAAGAAGAAAGCCAGAAAATACTATGAAATGTACAGCCAACTAAGCAGACATTGGCTGAAAATTTCTTAATGGGAAAACTTAACAGATATTTTAAATGTTGGATGTCTTAAGAACATTTCATGGTGATAATTTTTAATAAGAGTCGCGATACTTTTTAATAAATAGGTTTTCTAAGTGATTTAGTGACGATATAATTAACATACAATAAATAAGATTGTAGCACGTGGCGTTTTCATGAAGTTACTCTTATGAAAATAGACAAATCATGTCTCTAATGATCTTTTTTAAGACTCTTGGCATAAACAGATTTTCGCTTTTATGTGCTTAAATCATATTCTGATGCAATCTGTAAATACTAGACGTACTGGTCTAACCTCAAAAACTGACATTCGATACGTTTTCCAATGAAGGGTAATAATATCTCTGGTAACTTCTTTCGTGTTCTTTGCAGGAAGTTAATAACTTGACTCCCTTGTCGCCGGAGGTAATTTCACGGCAGGCTACAATAAATATTGGCACAATTGGCCATGTAGCTCATGGTAAATCAACAGTGGTCAAAGCCATTTCAGGTGTGCAGACGGTTCGGTTTAAAAATGAACTCGAAAGGAACATTACCATAAAACTTGGTGAGTAACATAAATAACAGGCACAAACGATAAAAATGTTCTAAATCCATATCAAATGTGCTTCCGCTTCAAATACAAGTAAAAAAAATAAGAAAAAAACCCATTAATACATTATAACTTTTTCTATCATTCATATTATTACTACTATGTCAATATTAACTGTTTCACTTTTCATCAAAATTTGATGACTACAATAGCGCACAGAAAAAAGAAAGTTACTATGAAAACGGTAGACAAAATGCGTTCTGTAAAATTATCGATTCCTAAATATAATAAATTGCTGGATTTTTAAAAGTATGTGAAAAAAGTACAAATCATTTTTTTCTTATAACAATTAAAAGACGGGTATAAATGTTAAATTGATTTCTCTTGTATTTCCCAGCAATTTAATTTTATTTATAATTTTCTATTTTGTTTCTCGTTTCTTTTGTGCCGCGCGAAAATTTTGCAGAACGCATAAGTCTCCAGCGCATGAAAGCTTTGCTGGCATCGCCACGGTTATTGCGTGAGTTCGAGGAGAGTCAGGAACTGAAACAATTGCAAAGACAACATCTTAATCGGCAACAATATAATTATAATTCTTTTCACTGGCTGGCGTGCCCATTACCGCGCACACCACTAGACGCGACGCAAACACGACTTAATGCTTTAACTCCCAGTAGTGGTTATGAAAGTTTCAATGATAATTCTTCCACACACAGTGGTGAATCAATGAAAATATCCGCAAGAGAATGTTTAGCTAAAAAACAGAGGAAACCAGTCAAACGCCATAATAAGTTAAAGACACCATCGCAGTCACTTTCGTTGAAAAAAGGTCTTTTCAGTAATGCCACTGCCATCCGAAAAAGCCAACAAGAATATGTGATTGAAGAAATAGAGTGCGTTGAGTCTCTTAATGGCCAACCAGTATTTTATGTGAAATGGCTCAATTACTCAAGGGACCAAAACACTTGGGAAGACCTAGACAATATAAGTGAGTGCTCTTTATTGGATGATTTTATTGACCACTATACATCGTTATACCGTCATAGCATTGTCTGCATTATTAACGAAGCGCAGCAAAATATTATCAAAGAAAATCTTACCTTGGACCCTAAGGAATTAGACGTCCGGGAATTGGACAAATATGATGAACATATGATAAAACTGGAGGTAGATCTTATACTGTTGGCTCAATTTGAAGCATCACGTTCTCGTAATTATCGAGATTCGCAAAAGATACGTAAACGTATATTGCGTGCTTTGCTTCTGAAACCGTGGTTTATTCAACGTAAACAACAGCAAATTTCATTGCTGCAATGGCAAGATCATGCAAACTTAGTAGAAGGTAATGCTCCTATAAAGGTGGAAAACAACGTCGATTTGGATGTCCTAGATCCAAATTTCAAATATATATGCGAAAATCTTGCAGGTAAAGGCGTTGCAATCGGCAATGAACCGCCGGTTGGTTGTAATTGTCTAGACGGTTGTAAGCCACTTGCAACCAAATGCTGTGCTCGCATGGCTGATGGGTATTTTGCCTATGACAAGAAGGAACGTTTGCGCATCAAACCTCGCGAGGCGATTTACGAATGCAACAAAAGCTGTCAATGTCCAATAGATTGTCCCAACCGAGTCATACAACGTGGTCGTCGAAATGCCTTAAGTCTTTTTAAAACCAGCAACGGGTGTGGCTGGGGAGTACGTACCGATAAGGCCATGTGCAAAGGCGAATATGTTTGCGAATATGTAGGCGAAATTATTACTGTCGAAGAAGCAAATGAAAGAGGTAAACGTTATGATACGATTGGCAGAACATATCTGTTCGATTTGGATTATGATACCAGTTCCGATACCAAATACACTATCGATGCGGCACAATATGGTAACATTGGGCATTTTGTCAATCATTCCTGCGATCCTAACCTAGGGGTGTACTCATTCTGGATTGATAATCTTGACATAAAAATGCCGCGTTTGGCGTTTTTCACATTAAGATTGATCAAAGCTGGCGAAGAGTTGTCCTTCGACTATATACAAAACGCGCCCGACTTGGATGACTATGAAAACCTTTCAAACGCTGAAAAAATTACTTGTCGTTGCGGTGCAGACAATTGCCGCAAAGTTTTGTTTTAACTTTCCTTAAATAGATTTCACTCTTTTTTTAATTTTTAACCCACCACTTGCAGACATATTTATGGATATATTAATTGTGTCTTTTAATTGGGTGCCCTCAAACGTGCTGTATATTAAAAATGTGGCCACAGTCACTCTTTCGTCCGTTCGTCTTTTCACATGACCGTCTTGAAGTGTCTCAATTGGAAAAATGTGATTGAAAAAAATTTACTTCTCCAAATTTCGACATAAATTTCCACAAATTTAACGCAATCTATTGTCTGACACAGACAATACGATATTAAGCAGACATTTTAATATTTACTTAAAAGTGGCGGATATAGATATTTCACGGCACAAAGGGAATATAATTTCCATGTTCTGTATCATAAAACTACGTATCATTGTTAATTTCACTCTTGTAAACTCGATGTAGATATTTAAATAGAAAAGATTATTATACATAATTTTTAAGCTATCATCTGGTGGATTTTGGTATTCTTATTATATATAATTGTCATAAATGTTACAAATATATATGCACACTGAAGGCACCGCTCATTTCGTGTTGTTTAATTTAAACTTGTTTCTAATATTCCACTGATTTTCACGTTAAGGTTATGCAAATGCGAAAATTTACCAATGCGACAATCCGAAGTGTCCTCGGCCGGCATGCTTTATATCTGATAGCTCGAGCAAAGATGATAATTTTCCTTGCAGTCGCCCATCCTGTACGGGGCGTTTCAGACTGGTACGTCATGTCAGTTTCGTGGATTGCCCGGGTCACGATATTCTTATGGCCACGATGTTGAACGGCGCCGCCGTCATGGATGCCGCTTTGCTACTCATTGCTGGCAATGAATCATGTCCGCAACCACAAACATCCGAACATTTGGCTGCTATTGAGATTATGAAACTGAAACAGATTCTAATATTACAAAATAAAATCGATTTGGTGAAAGAGTCGCAGGCCAAAGAGCAATATGAAGATATTACAAAATTTGTAAAGGGTACTGTAGCAGATGGCGCTCCTATTATCCCTATATCAGCTCAATTGAAATACAACATAGATGTAAGTATTAAAGCAGACAGGTTTTCATGCACAATAAACACTTTTTCATCGTTGCCTTTGCGTTTTTAACAAAGCAACAACAAGATTTGAATATTACTGGGGAATTGATTAAGGCAATGAGATAGAAAAACCTATATTTTTATCTTGGGGCGAATTTTTAAACCCATCTTCACAAGAAAGCGTAAAAGCAGGAGCATATCGTTTAATTCCACAATTCTCTCTTTTGTGCAGTATCGTATTTACTAAGCGAGCCACGATTACAGGGGATCCTCCATATGTTTTATTTTGTAGATGGACTGTGTCCAAATTAGATTTTGCCCTTCTGTACGCAATGAATATAGAAAATTTTAATCGATTTTTTTGCCTGTATTGATTATAAGAAAACTGAGGATGTAAACATTGACCCGTAAACATTGTTTTCGAAAACTAATTCAGTCAACTCATACTCCCAAGTATTATAACAACAATATGTATAAATATTTTTTTAAGCGCAAAATTTTTCTTCAAAAGTGTTACGTTTGATCCGTTTAGATGTTATTTACTATCATTTTCTCTTTCAGGTTTTGTGCGAATATATTGTGAAAAAAATTCCCGTGCCTCAACGTGACTTCAGTTCACCGCCCAGGTTAATTGTTATACGTTCCTTTGATGTTAATAAACCGGGGTGCGAAGTGAAAGATTTAAAAGGCGGTGTGGCTGGTGGGTCTATACTGTGTGGTGTTCTTAAAGTAGGACAAGAAATTGAAGTACGTCCTGGCGTGGTTACGAAGGACGGCGATGGCAACATAACTTGTCGTCCCATCTTCTCCCGCATTGTATCCTTATATGCTGAGCAGAATGAATTGCAATATGCCGTCCCTGGAGGCCTGATTGGTGTGGGTACAAAAATTGATCCTACACTGTGCCGCGCTGATCGCTTGGTTGGCCAAGTACTTGGTGCGGTCGGCCATTTGCCCGACATTTATATTGAACTAGAAATTTCCTATTATCTACTGCGTCGCTTATTGGGTGTACGTACTGATGGAGATAAAAAAGGAGCTAGAGTCGACAAACTAAAAAAAACCGAAATTCTGCTCGTAAATATCGGTTCACTAAGTACTGGCGGTCGCATTTCAGCTACACAAGGGGATTTAGCAAAAATTGTCCTGACCACTCCTGTGTGCACGCAAAAGGGTGAAAAGATTGCGCTAAGTCGGCGGGTGGAAAAGCATTGGCGGTAAGTTGCTTTTAATAAAATGTAGAATTATTTTATTCCATTTTTCCTGTTTTATTTCAGTTTGATTGGTTGGGGGCAAATCTTTGGTGGTAAAACTATACAACCTGTTATTGATAGACAAGCTCCAATTGAAAAATAAATTCAATTTTACTAATGAAATTTTTATACCTAAAACGTAACGTTATACATAACGAATGTGATTAACATTCGGAAAGTAATAATAAACGTATGAAATTTATACATTTCTTATATAAAAATAAAGTCCCAGTGTCTCAAGAAGAAACTTTCATACAAGAAGGCCATAGCCCTCAGTTAAGGTATTGATTACACAATTACGATGAAGTTTGAAAAAAATTCGAGCCTTTATTGATTATTCATAATGTTTCTTACGAAAATAAGAGAAAATTAGCTTAAAAATTTGTTGCCCGTGGCTAACACATCAATGTCAAACAAACAAAATGAAAGAAATGAGTGATAGAAGTAACAAAGTTCGACATCCATATCGTCATTTGTTAACAGAATGTGCATAAAATCGAAACAGCAACTTGGTCCTGCTTCTATTGTTCATGGTGTTTCGCCCTGTTTCTTACAATAGCAGTATTTTCGCAATTCTGGGTTGCGTTTGTAAATGCAATTTGCTTGAGATCCGTACTTGTTTATTCGAGAGATACCTGACAAATTACTTTCCATGGATAACGAATTAAGATTATGCGAGACACTAGCTTCAAACAGCGAATCCCCAGGGGAAACTACAATTTGCAATTGATAAAACACTTCATACGGCTCGCCTTTATTATTGAAATCAGGCACATGTCCATCAGTATCGCTGCTTTTCTCGAAAGCTAGCAAATCTTTATGTGGGCTTAGGCGCATGGCCCAGTTAATGTGTTTTAACTGTAAAACGGCGCAATATGGACGAAACGTCTCTGTAACGTTGTTAATAACGTTTAAAATAGCTCCTGCTGCTTTCAAAGCTATTCCCATGTTCGAACTAACGTTTAAATTAAGCGGCTTCCAATCCAAGCAAGCGCACCAATGTGGTTCAATGTAGGCTTCCGCGCAAGATCGATTCCATAACAATGGCTCAAATAGAGATTTTGCTCTATTTCTCGCTAAATCTGATAATTCCACTCTCATGGTGGCAAGGGATTTTTTGGTTTTCAAAAATTCGCCATATGAAGATTCGTCGAACTGAGTAGACACTTGAGCTGATTGTAACTCTGCAAATTTAAATAATTCGTATGATTATACCACCATACTGTATTTTTCTTTTCACCTAAAATGTGTGTCAGAGTGGCGTGGATATCGAATGGCGTTGTTAGTCGTTCACTGTTATTTACAAAATTTGCATATTCACGAGGAAAACGTTTCTTAAACGAATCGGGGAAAGCAAAACTAAAGAAGGGCAAACGCTCCTCCTGCTTGCCTTGTACAGTGTTACGTACATCCGCAAATCTAGAAATAAAGCCGTCATAAACTCCATACAAGGCGGTTTAATTCTTTAAAAAGGAATTAAAAAGCAACTGCATTCAGCTTGAGCCGAATTTTATAATATTGTTCACCAGATGTATGGTGCGGTGTATGGCTACAAAATTGCGATGCATTTCATCGTTATACGTTTGTATGACTTGGCAGCACTTTACTGGTGATTGTGCAATCTTAGCATCTATATATTTTATATATAATTATGTCAATTGTAGACGAGCAATTGAAATGATTTCAATGATTTAAGCTGAAGAGAATGAGAAGAGAAGATTTGGACCAGATTGCAAAGTTTTGACGTCATAATCGTTATATCAATATGTAATCGAACAGACGGACATGGCTGCATCATTGATTAAGAGTGCATATACCTTATCAAGCGTAGAAATATACATTGTACAAATTGAATAGACGCTTTCTTTCCGCGGCTAGTGCAAGCATTAGATCATACGTACCTATTTCCATGATCTGACATAAAAATTAAGATTGTATTCTCCAATAGTTGTTTCTGCTTCAACTTATCCAGCCAAGCAGCAATGTCATCATCTGCGGCTTCTATCAAATTAACAGAATCGTGCGAAAGTGATCCGTGAAAGCTAAACACAAATCTTGGTGTATCACTATACTTGACCATGAACTAAACGATACGAAATAGTAAAAAATAAAAGGTTTTCGTCGAATATCTTATTAAGAATTTAGAAACTAACATTTTTGGTATATTCCATCATAACCAAATGATTTGCTTGATGACTTATGCAAAAATCTTCATTAAAGAAAATGTTATCACTTTCTACGTAGAATGTGCGTAAATAATGATGAACTGGTTGGTCCTTAAAACCGTTCAAACGATACGTAAAAGTTCCCAGTTGTGGCACATCCTCATTGAAAGAAGTGACGTAGCCTTGTCGTTCATAATCGCTCCAAATGAAAGGATATGCCTTGTCAACCGGTATTGTATTTGAAATACGTCTCCGCGTATCCGGTAATTCAAGTTCAGTATAACCGGTCAAAATCGGTATCAGAGCTTGCGGAGTACCATCGCCGACAATGTTATAACTCCCGAGAACGATGCTATGCAAAACTTTGGTAAGATAATGGTACGTTTTTGGCAACTTACGTAGAACAGCGTGATGACTAAGGGAATCATAACCGTACATAAGTATATTGAAATGTGAAGGAAACTTGGAGGCATCTAATACTTGTAACAAGTTGCCGTTATTTAACGGGGGCGGTACAGGTTTGTGTATTAAAGTGTTTTGTACACCGTCTCGTATACCATAAGCCATACCCATCCATCTACGTTATGTAAAAAAAAAAAATTTTAGATTATTGTTGCATAATATTCGCACAGCGCACTTTTTCTGATTTTCCGCTATACAAGTAACTTTAGCGAAATCGGATGCTTGCAAAACATACGGCTCCCGCGAGTACGATGTGGATTTGCTGAAACGAGACTTCCAATCACTCTTCCGTATTATGTCCGCATAAGAGCACATCACTTCACCGTACTTCGCCATTATTTCCGGTTTTACAAAACAAATTGATTTCTATTTCACGAAAGAAGAATTTTTTGTAAAAATATTTGTACAAAAAAAGAAAATTATTTTACTTTCCTCGCACATAACCCAATCGTCCAAAGGATCACCGCAATTAATTGGTTCGACATGGTGATAAAATTTCATTATCTCTGGATTATTCACAGGCAAATTCGGCATACGACATTCTGATTGATTCATTACTGAGCGTATAGAACGTTCAACTGTTTTTCTGTAACAACGATAATAATAATAATCAATTAAAAACAATATAATTGAGTAAATTCTAACGTATTTGATATTTAAGCTTTGCAAGGATGTAAGTATTTCTATATTTAAATCATGAACCTATCGCATGTTTTCCGGCCTGTCTCGTCGGATGGGATGGGTAAAAAAAAAATTTAATTAGTTTCATGATAATTTATTTGTTACGCTACAAATATTTCATTTTTTTTTAAAAAACATGCTTACTTTTAATTTTAAATTTTTTCCCGGATAAATACAATACTATGCCCAATCAATACTGCCTTTCCTTCACCCCTCAGTCACCCTCAGCTCTTACCAGCTATTCAATACTTTTAATAATAATACATTTTTTCTATTTTTCCAAAAAAAAGAAATCAAAGAAGAAATAACAAAATTATTTAAGTTAAATATAATTAAACTAATTTAAAATAAAAAAAAAAATATCATTTATATTTTATTTTCTCTTTTTTTTAGAAGAAGTAAATCATTTACAATTTATAGAATAATAAAATTATTTTTAATTAAGGCTAGTCAGATTTATAATAGAAAAGATTATTCTCAAATTTAGATTAATTTAACTTAACAAATAAAAGCAAACTTATCAAATCAAACAACCACGTCGATGCGCATCGCCGCAGCTAAATGATTTTTTATCAGATTATAAATTTTAAAGTTTTTAATTAATAATAAGAATAAAAATACAAAAAAAATAATTGTCGTTTATTGATTCGATGAGACACGTAACCGCTTGGAAGATGGATATTTTCAAAGCCTTAGGGATGATTGATAAAAAATTGATCCTTAGAGTCACGCAATTATTTCAATTACTGGCGTGTGAGTGGACTAACTGGACAGAACTGGAGTTTTTTGTGTATTTTCTGCTTTTGAATTATAACTTACATGTTGTTAGTGTCGAAATTCGTAATATAGATTTATTCACAATATAGCTATATAACTTTTCACTTTTTGTAGTTTTTTCAGCAAGAAGTTTCTGTTATCTTTCCTTTTGAAAAAAAATATCAATGCAATGATAGTTCTCTTTAAAAATGTAAGGAAAAAACAAATTTCAAAATCTTTGTTTCAAAAAGCTGTTCTTTCGAATAACTCAATCCCTCAACTGCCTAATTTTCTTTCTCTATCCCCCAAGAAAACTCAAATTTTCTTCTTTTTTTTTCTCTGTGAAAGAATGTAATCAGAAGTCAAGCGCTATTGAAAATTTGAAATTTTACTTTAGCGTGGATATAATTTCAGAAGACTTTTTCGTGCGATCTAATTAAGTAAATTTTTATATATGGTCTTTCGAAGATTTTCAAAAGAGCAAAGCCTTAAACCCATATTTTCAGGCGCCCTTGTGGAACTACGGAATGTGACAAGTTCGAATAAATTCAAACAAATGTCGCTCATTTAATTACTCTCTCAAATTACCAAGTTCGAAGTTCAAATACAAGAACAAAGCAACTTCAAATCCCACAAACAAGCGACTTACTCTGTAACGATGCATTCTCATCATAATTATGTATGATGATGATATGTGATTTAAAGATTAGATGTGGTAACGAGGAGACTAACTGGAAGACTTCTTCTAAAAACACTTGTATGAAGTTCTCCTATGAATATTCACCAAGCAGATAGAGAAGATTCCCTATGAATGCTCTCGCATAATTATTTCAAGATTTATTTCTGTCTCGCTCGTCTCCAGGAAGTTTGCCAAAGAGTAATTTGCGGTAATTAAATGAAAGTGCGGGTATTAAGTCCATCGACTCAGAGTTTTAATGTGCCGATAAGGCAGTGAAAACATTTCCAAAATATAGTAATTTAGCATCTTCGCCAATAAGGAACATTATCTCTTCCCATTTTATTTACTTAAAAAAGATCTTCTTTCCGTTAACAAAATTTTTACGAAATCAATTATATTTTAAGTTTTTATTATTATTTCTTATAAAACTATTATTTCTTACAAGCAATACGGCAACAAATTTGGTTCTAGTTTTAACGGCCGTGTCTGAAGTTATACCAGAATATTACCAAATATGAATAATTTTTTCTTCTTTTTCATCTCATGACACAGCTCCATATGTTGACGTGGTGTTACCGTATTTGACGGTACCTCTACTCTTAACGTATGGTATTTTGCATCAGCATGATAACTTGCTGCTACAATTAATTGGTGCCTAAAAACTCCTCTTCTTCTTTACATTATTTTGTTATACATACCAGGATGATAAAACAAATATTCTTCAAATTCGGAGTAGCAATTGGAATCAAACAGGTGGTTTTCAGAGTCGCTCATTTAATTACTCTCAGATGCTTCTAAATTAAGGTAGATTTCAGGCAATTATCTTTTGTTTGTGCGCGAAAATTTTGAATTATGTGAGCGCCAAAAATTTTGAATTATGTAAGAGTATGGAATTTTGAATTATGTGAGAGTATGGAAGTTTGAATTATGCGAGAGTACGGAATTTTGAATTATGTGAGAGTATGGAATTTTGAATTAATTTAGCGTCAAAAATTTTGAATTATGTGAGAGTAAGCAATTTTGAATTATTATTTTTTTTACTTATTTGAAAAATCCGTAAATTTATGTTTTCTCTTTCCCTCCTCTTCAAGCTCCCTTGCCGTATCTGCAATATTCGACGAGTTAGAATCTATTTCAACGTAACGAGGATTATTTTTAGTTCTGATGTTTTTATGCAATAATAATGATATGTAATCACACTGACATCGTGCGAGCACATATATACCGAATCTTCTTTCTCTATCCTCAACACATATATATTTTTTTAAAATTGAAAATAAGCAGAAATTGTCTGATTATTTTTAACACACAAGAATATTGACAATGCATGCATTTTGACAGTAAACTCTAGAATTTGAACAGAAAACTATAAACAGATAAATAACGGTCTTCATTTTCATAGCAACTGTTTAATATATATTGAAATAAAACTTTATAAACATTTGATGCTATTGCGGATGTTGCTACTTTAAAACTGCCAAATATTGGAAATCTACTACATACAGTTTTTAATGATAGCAATGTCGCGTTGTGGATTAAAAACTTTTTATATACTTTATATATTTTTCTTATTTACAATTTGGCCTGGAAATACCTAACATAAATATTTATAAAATAATATAAATCTTAAGTGAACACAAATTATTATAAGCAGCAATAATAAGTAAAAGTGATAATGTAAATAAACGTAAGAAGTGCGCTTGTATCTTTACTTGTCGTTTATTAAAGTTGCAATTTGACACTTCCGAAGTGTGTCATTAGTCCTCCGCTTCACTATTTGTTAATAATTTCTTTTTTTTTTTTTGTTTATATTCCATTTGGTAAACATTGGTATTTCTGGACTTTGAACATTCCACTTTTAACATTTTTCAGATATTACCTGACTTTTAACTCAAGATTAATTCGTAATTCTTTTAGCACGTTTAGTTCTGTGGTTTTTTATACTTAATATATAGCAAGATCAAGAACTTAAAAAAATTCTCGACATACCTCGGTGGCACAGAATATTTTGATCACCATTTTCTAGAAAATTTTAACATATTCTTTTCGCTTGTCGCCCTTATATTTTTTTTATTATTACCGCAGTTAGGTAGCACAACTTTGGTGCTAAAAAGCATCAAAAAGGTAGTGAGAAACTTTTAGCAAAAGATCAGCGAAGTTGTAATATACTAGAAGGCTCATTGAAAACATTCGTGCAGAAAAAAGGAGTCGAAAGATTGAACAAACAGTCCAGAATATGATGTTATGTATTCAAAAATGAAGCCGTAAGCAAACGACAACAAAACGTTTCATAAAGATAATAAAATAAACGGATAAGATAAGAGAAGAGGATAAACAGATTCAAATTTGTAGGCTTTATTCCACGTAATCAGAAATATGTTGCAAGCTCCGTTTTTAACGTAATTATCTTAGAAAAATCCTTGATAAAAATTACAATCGGAGGCTAATAAAAATTACAATCGGAGGCTAATAAAAAGTTTAGTATTTAGTTCATAGAAGACGAAATGAAGTGCTTACAATTGTGACCAAACTCGAAAACTCCAATAAGATGTACACAAACTCATCTACCGAAATATCGATTTAATGGACACTTTATCAGCATACATATAATTTAGAGAATAGGGGCCATTGCATAAAATTTGCAAAAATATTAGTTGAATAAAAAATATATTTTACGCATTGCCGACAAACAAAGAAAAAGTAGTAAATATATATCAGAACAAGGTGGTACAAGCTTGCATTAAGTTCGCGGATGTTTGTGCAGATGTAAGCAACATCCAAAAGGACTTGAAAATCTGTTTCTGTATTGATCTAAGCTTGTCTGTTTGCTTATCCATATTTTGCGCAGTTAACTTTTATGTCAGATTACTATTATGAATCAATTTTCACTAAGAAATTTTTCTCTTTTGCTGTATAAAGCTTGGATTTCGTAGGAACGGTTATATAGAGATGGTTTCAAATAGATGGCCATTCAATCAAAGCTTTTCATATCAATTTAGTGTTCCAAAGAATTATTATTCAGCGAAAAATTTTGAATGTTGTAATTATTTTTATGTAATAATTTTTTCAAAATAAATGGAGATTGACCGTAAAAATGATTATAATCAATTCAATGTACATGATTGTATCGAATTCCGTCGAAATATTTCAAAAATTATATTCTGCAGATTGAACACAAAAATTCGTAGATGGACTATCAAGACAGACAGACAAGATTAAATCGATCGTTGTGGGTATGTACGTACAATATAAACGGCGTAGGGCACAATGACATCAAAAATTTAAACAATGGAAAAATTTCATTCGTTTTAAAGGACACATTTTAATATTAATTATTTACAAATATTTATCGCACATGTAAAAATATATCGACTAGTAGATATTTTTGAGGGCAATGGGTAAAAGAGGGACATGTTCGTCCATCTTTCTCCTTTCTATGTGTCTGGCTGTCGATTGTCGATGGGCTGAGGTCACTCAATAAATTTTTCATTAAATCTAATCACCATATTTTCGAAATATACCCATGATCCGCCCACAATTACTAAAATAACAATAGTTTATTCTTTGCCTAACTTATGGCCCCAAGATTGCATTGCTTTCAATAAAATCCCTTTATCTTCTTCCCTCTTATGTTCATAGACGCGTAAACTAGTAATAAGCATAAGCAGTAAAAATTCGAATTTGAAGACATTAACTGTACCATGTATATCCACCAAAAAAATTATTTGTTATTATTATTAATAATTAAATAATATAAAATTCAAAAAATTATTATTATAATTTATCATATTGATGAGATATTTTTTGGATACCAATTGCATATCCACGATAATCACAAAATTATTTATGTAAGTGGGACTTTGTACAATTACCTAAAAAGTACTGCCACAACTAATGAAATGTGAAATGTCCAACACAATTATATTTGAATAGATCTTCTTGCTTAATTTGCTATCTATAAGGAAATTTTACTTCTCCGCTTTTACCGCATGTGTTTTACAACAATGACATATTATATGCTGCAACTCTTTTATGTGAACATGTCGCTTTATACAAATGATTGTGCCTAAAATGTTTAAAACAAAACAAGCACAAGAGTACGTCACAAATGCCATCCCATTTTTTGGTAATATTTTCCCCCTATTCCACATTATCAATAATTTGTATGATATGACGACGAGCAGAGTTGCTGTTTTGGTCTGTACTTTGCACACTCGGTACCCAATTTTTACGAAACTTTAGCATATCTGGTTTTGAATTTGTTTTATATTTTTTAGCTTACCAATCATAGCTTATCAATAATATCTATTAATATAATAATAATTGTATACGCTCATTTTATAAAGTTGCACAATACATGCAAAATGAATGAGAACGAATATACGCTCATTTTATAAAGTTGCACAATACATGCAAAATGAATGAGAACGAATATACGCTACTCAATTGATAAAACACCCATCATATGATCAGCCACTTAATCACAAATCCTGTAATGTTTTTACAAAAGGGTTTATATATAATATATATATTCTAAATGTGAATACTGGTAGTTGTCGATATTAATATTTTTTATTGCTCATTGCAAAATTGCATTCACATTGGTAAGTATTTTCTTATTATTTCATTACATTTCATTACATCTGGTAATTTTTTGGTAGAGTGGCCATATTAGTTAAATGCCTAATCTGTAGCTTTTAGCACACACAAATTCTGGTTGACTGGTATTGTTTGACAACTAAACACTGTGTGTAAAATTGTAATTGTGTTTTGTAGACGATAAAATTAAATTTATTGGAAATAAAAAAGAATCTGTGCATAAGAATTTGCGAAGTCAGTCTTAATTCGATATCATGCAATAAACCTAATTGGGAGATAGATTTTACTCGGAGCAAGTCGCAGACAAATGAAGAAGGAAATCCGCATTAATTGAAGCCAACAGCGCAATCACCATTGTGAGGAAATTAATTGAAAACAGTTGTAAATAGTTGCTATTTTAATTTATATAGCAATGCATAGTAATAAAATAACAACAAAGTAAGTAGTACAAGAAAAGTTCAAGCATTTATGGCCTTAATGAAGTAATTTTTTCGTTTTCATGTTCTAGTAGCTCCTATGAGAACACCATCAAAATGGATATAAACGTATCACAATCATATGAACGATCGTCTAGTACGAATTGCAGCGTACCACCGACGAACCACGGGGGAGGCTTAACAATTGCGAGTGTCACAAAAGGACCCGCACATTTCACTTTGAATAGTCCTAGTGCTGGTTGTGTTGGCACGACCGCAATCACCAATGCAACAATTGTTCATAGCGGCCCTATTGCCAAAGATAAGCCAGCTAGCAAAAGCATTAAGCAACCGATACCGCGAAAACCGCCTCCAACATTAGACAATTTCTGGCCAAATATTTTACATGAGATACAGAGCACGCAAAATGTTGATGCCAGACATCAGGCTTTACCTTTAGCACGCATTAAAAAAATTATGAAACTGGATGATAATGCGAAAATGATTGCCGCTGAAGCCCCGCTTCTATTTGCCAAAGCTTGCGAATTTTTCATCCAGGAGTTAACTATGCGAGCCTGGATTCATACTGAGGAAAGCAAGCGACGTACCTTACAAAGATCAGACATTGCTCAAGCTATAGCTAACTACGATCAATTTGATTTTCTCATTGATATTGTGCCACGAGAAGATATAAAGCCTTCTGGTCATCACCGGAAGCATGAAAGCGCACAAACGTCTACGTCTACATCTACGTCTGCGAATGGACTAAATGCAACCTCATCGGCATCTTCGTCGGCACCAGTAACACACAGTAGCTCAATACCAGCTGCTGCTAGCGGTGGTGTTGTAACTGGCGAAATGATTAACGTAACTACACTAAAAAGTGAACCTTTAAATACTATAGCAGCTGACCAAGTGACAACAAATGCCGCATTGGCCACTACTAATAGCACCCAAACTGCGCAAGTAGTAACTGCGGGTCAGCCTACCCAGCAGCAGGTTCAAATCATACAACAAACTGGTCATCATTCAACGCCACAAATGCAATACTTTATCACAATGCCCGGACAACAACCAGGCCAACCACAGTTGGTATATCAATTGCAGTTGCAACAACAGCAACTGCAGCCGCAAAATTTAACAGCGGCAGGTCTTAACTTGGTAACTCAGCAACCACAACAATTGATATTAACAGCAGCTGCACCCACCAACGCCAACGCAACTCTAACTAACCACCAGCAACAAAGCGGTTTATTGCAGAATTTGGCTCAACAGCAGCAACAACAAGTTCAGCTAGTGCAGCAAGTGGTAGTTACACCTACCGGTGAATTAGCCAATGTGCCGGTAATGTCTAATATTTTAAATAAGTTTTTCAAGTATAGGTTTTTAATTAATAATTTTGAACACCCAGATTGCTATCAACGCAAACCAAATAAACTTGTTACGTTTACAAATGCAACAACAACAGCATCAACAGCAATCCCAACAGCAAGCACCCCAGCAGATAATTATACCGACCCAATTACTCAGTGCTCAACAACTCATACAACTGCAATCGCAAAACGCTGCTGGTGTGCATCACCAACATAGTTCACAACAACATCAACCTCAACACGCAGGACCCAGTAGTACATTGTATATTAGTGCAAGTCCATCTGTTCAAAACGCTGTCGCAACATCCGGCGCGGAACGCAATCTGAACGGTGGTTATCGCTCGAATTGCTAGCCTGAAGATAACGTCCGAAGCAGCTGCTATTGGGCCGCTGAGGATATGCTTAACTTTTTGTAAATTTCTTAACTGCCAGCTTCTTAGGCAGGTGTTTAGGTTTTTATATATCAGTTATGTATGTATATATATATATATACCTGCTATTAGGCGATAATTCCAGGATCACCACCGAACTTAATCAGTATAAAATTCTCTGCCCGTTTAACAATGTTCATCCTTTCCTGCGTTTTCTGTTGCATGCCAACGGGGGCATAAATTGACCACTGCAACTTTGTGTAAATATAAGATCTCAATTGCTTCAAACTTAGCTCGGAAATGAACAATAGACCACCATAATGGAATAAGCTCAGCACTATAGACGTACAAAACAAAATTCTAATTTATTGTTACGTCGGCAATTGATAACGTATTTTAGGCAATTTCTATTTACTGGTTCAAGTCGGTGGGTATCAAAGGTTTGCCTCCAAGGCGGATACAACTTTCTTGTTTGTTCTAACTGTAAATTTGTAGAATTACTTCTTTAACCCCATCAAGACTTGTATACCATTGATGTATTTATATTTATAGATTATTGATTTTAAAGAATAAAATCCCTTCTTGTGAAATAATGTATAAGTAATAAAATGCATAACCATATTTGAAAACGAATCAATATGTCTGAATTGAAAATGAAAAGTTCCTTTTAAAAAGAAGATTATTAGAAAGTTTATCTTATATGCAAGACGCTTTTTTCCGAGCTTTTTTATTTCTGGTGGGAAAGTTTGAAACAAACATTTCGTGGGTTTTTCAAGAGAATATGAACATAATGAACTTGATAACATGAAATATGTAAAATAAACAATAAATATATATGGCGATGCATACATACATTTGCTCTTGTCTATCCATATCTGGCTGCGGCACAACGAAGAAATAACAAAAACCACCGATTATTGTTACGAGAATAATAATATTAAATAAATTTCGTGGCCGTATTTTACGCATTTTAACAGTTTCGTGAGAAACCTATTAAACAAAATAATAATGCGGTTCGGTTCCTGCTCCAAGTCACGTTAATAATAAATAAATAAAAAATATTTTTATTTATTATTGAAGCCCTTTTCGATATAAATCTCTGTCTAATACATTTTTTATTTCTATTACGTTTTTATTGAACGATTTGAAAATTCAATAATGACACTTTCCGGCACTTATTACACAAGTATTATTCATGTTAAGTTCGATCTCTTAGTGAACGCACGCGTTAATGTTTGCTCCTCTAATTGATTTTTCCTTGCAAGAACGAGATGTCTAAGATATATAAAATCACAGATAAAAATGCGAGGTGTCTTGCTAAAAACAACCAATGGATAAATAATTAAATATTTGCTAAAAAAATCTAAAGTGTCTGTCTACGAACTGGTCAAAGGTTTCATATCTAAATAAAAGTATTTACAAAAGAAACAGCTGTTTCTTTCCTTGTGTGAGAGGCGCGTTTGATGGCAGCTATGTAAGTTTCGCGGATATGTTAATTTTTGGCAATAAATATGGTAGAGTGCAGTTAATGTAAATGTAGAAACGCCACAAGAGGAAAATTTGTGGTAATATGCAATATAATCTGCAGAAAATATACCATTTTGCTCCTGTTTCACCATACCAACTTCAAGTCACGTGTTGAAATTCATGTACGATGATTGCACGCAATATGTCCAAAACATTGACCTCGCAGTTAGAGAAAAAAACGAAACGGAAATAAAATTTGCTCCTTGAGACGACTGAGAAGAGATTTGCCGAAAGATAAGTGGCAAGAAATCCTTTCAAGTGGTATTGCAAAATTAAGAAAGCTTAATAGTGCCATCAATACAACATAAGAAATCATAAGAATTGCCGAGGGCCGTTACCGATCAATTATAGCCATTCATACGCTCTTACCTTGGTGATCGGTAATTTTTCGATATAATTACTTGTCCTTTAAAAGTTAAAGTATATCTTCATATTTTTTTGAAAGCAAAAACTGAATTATAAAAGTTCCGATGCAATAGGAACTAGTTCTAAAAATCTGCTATAATGGCTACTTGCCAGCGCAGAAATATGGGCCCATCACATCACCTCATATTATATGAGCTTTTCCTCAACTTTCTGAATGCTTATTAAAAAAAGAGAAAGAGATATGCCACAAAGTATTGAGTCACGTTGCGAAAATATTTTTAAACTGTGATAACGTATAAACACATTTAAATTTTAATATATTGAAACTGTTTTCATAAATATTTGAAATCGATCGAATTTTCTAAGTACAAACTAAGGTAATATAAGTTGACAAAAAGTTCCTAGAAAAATATTAAACAGGAAATGGGGAATCTAAAAAATATTTGTAGAGCCTTCAAGATACTTTTGTCAAAATAAAAATAAGCCCAAGTATTTATCATACTGTCGGCGTGTTTTTAAAAGGATTTAATAAAATGTAATGTTAATTAAAATGCCAGCCTTTTTCTAAGAGAGAGTGTAAGCGGATTGGACGGACATGAAGTTCGGAAAGATATGAAAGCTTTCACTGTTTCTGCAAAGAAAGTGAAAAGCTTAAAATTAAGTTTTTATGTTTACCATCAATTCTAGCATTGAATTAATTATTTTTCATTTTGCAGCACATAGAGCATAAACAAGTGATCTTATTTTTGACGAATATGGCAACTCCAATCAGAAAAGAAAAGTTTGCAGGTTAACTGCAGAAATTAGCCAAGTGTTGAATATGATGAAAAAGCAGCCGTTCCCAAGTCTTAAACGCGATCTTTTCTCAACACGGTTTTTTAAAATGCCCACGAAACAGCTTTTATAATCTTCAATTTTTTAAATCAAATTTTTTACAATATCTTTAAAATAACATTTCGAAGAGCAGTACGTAAAAATTCTCCTTTCACTTTTCTCGTATTTCCGTAAATAAATAAATTAAATGTTTCTTTGTACTCAAATATATAGTGAAAAAGGTATAGGCGGTAGAAAATCCTTATAACGAAAGAAATCGTCAAAACCACACAAAGCTATTGAGTGCAAGAGCAAAGAAATATTTATATAGTCCCACCTTCAAATTGACTTACGTTTTTGTTTTTCGGTTGGTTTGGAATCAGCTACGTGATGGCATCCAGCACTGTCTTTTTGGCATCACGTATGCACAAGAGGTATTAAGTACAGCTTTCGTATTTACCAAATTGCGCGAAGGCTTATTGTTTCTTTTGAATTAGGATCGGTTGTTTGGTCTTGCATTTATAAGAGAGGACAGATTGCAAATTGGAAACAAAATAAATTCTAAGCAAAGTTGTTTTACTTACAAACAGTTGAAAAAAACGAAAAATTGGAAATATGTTAAACGTCAGTTAAATTATTTCAAAAAGCTTGCACACGGTATCGTCAATCTTTTCATACATCGCCTTATGCAGGTGCCATCATTTATAAAATGCAAAGGTTCAACGATTAAAAAAACTCATCGTTATGTTGGATAAAGTGGTCTCATAGCAAACAAAAAGTAAGTGTAATATTGTAGATAAAATTAACAAGTAATGTTATGATGTTTGGCGTAATCCGAGGATCAAAATTCCCGGAAGAAAATCCTTATGAAGACTGGAAGGGATTTGTGAGACGCTTCCAATCCATTCACGTTACCTGAAAATGTGTATGTACATTGTTTTCATATTTCCGGACAACTTATATATTTATGTACATTAATTGTTACATGTACATATCCGTAGTTTTGTGTTTCGAAAACGGCTTTTAACTACATTTTACGGAAACTTAATACGAGTGGTTGTTTGAGGAAAACGTCGGTGATATGTTGAGTCATGACTTTGGAGTTGTTGGAGTTTGACCTTGGCTATCCGGAAACGTAGTGCAGAGTAAATTTATGCGACCCGAGTTCTTTTTGTTTGTAATGCTTCCATACGTATCATATTCCGTGGGTTTTCTTCTTTGTTAGCTCCTATGAAATTTCCATTAAATTTTTATCAGTTTTTGTTTTGGCACTGCTTCTAATTAAAATTGCTTGTACTTTATAAGTTACATTTTAAAGTAATCTTTTCAGTTCCCAGCCGCAAAATGCACCTCCGGTTTATGGCGGAACCCATAAAATACTTTGATTACATGCTTATATTATATAACACTATTTGCCTTTATTAAATAATGACGATGATATTAATAAAATTGTGGTTTAACGTTTTTATTATTATGTATATTTACCAATTAATTTTCCCATAGTAAACTAAAAACAAAACACTTTTTGTTGAAATAAAAACTGAAAATCTATATTAATTTACGAGTATATAAATCCTCACTTGTTTTAGCTTTTACTCACATGTTTATATAAAAGGGTAAGTTTCACCTGTAGGGGAAGTTGCGGAGGACAAATTAAATTTAATGGCACGTAATATCATTTGCTTTCGGTAATATTTTCCAATTTATTCGATTCCAAATAACCCAGAATACGATAAGTGAAGAGAGTCTACGGATGTTGACCTCATCATTAACTTATCATATGATACGCTGATTACTCAATTTTCACCGGGTATTAATATGGCGGCATTGATATCATCACCGCTCCCTTCTAGTTTCCTTAATCATTCAGGCTTTCTGGTCCTAAAGCGATTATTGTTTAGTTGGGCAGGCTTTATTTCCTCAGCCATTGTTATCACAAATTTTTTCTGTTATCAGTTTCTCTTTTCAAGTACTTGGCTTTAAAAATTGTGAACTGATACAAGTACCATATGTTCAGCATATAGTTGTCTTTAATAGGTTATTAATACTGAGATTTTAATAATCATTAGCAACAAGTTCTTCTGTGAATCTGAATAAACACAGCCCACTCTGAAAATTACCAAAAACAGACCACTCTGAAAATTACCAAAAATCAGTCCACTCGTGCCTGTAAATTTAATGACTTTATATGGCTTCTATCGAAGATACCATAACATGTGTCTTTAATATGTTCTGTAATATGCATTTGCACCAAACTGGTCATACACTGACCGGTCAAATGTTCCAATAATTCCAATTGTAGAAGTTTCCCGTTAACGCGATTTATGGTTATTAACCGTTCTTGACACTTGCACTTATATTATGTAGAACGGATCACAATATTTGTAACGGTTAAGTTATGCATCAGTTTGAGATATCTTTCCTTTCTAACGCAAAAGTATTGAATGCTGATGGCATTGTTTTCCAAAAGAAAGCCTTCAACCATCGTAGCACCAGAATCCTGAAGAGTACTTTAATAAATAAAATTGTGAGTTGCCCCTTTAAATATACTATCCGTGAGCTTTATGTAATACCATAAGTCATGTCGCTGATTTGTGGATAAAATCTACAAGTGGTGCAAGGGTAAACTAAGTTTGTGCAGATGTATGTGGTAGTCTCGACATCTACGTCGACAGTTATTAAAAATGATTAAGATTGGATCTTATATTAAAAAGTCATTATATGAGTTGTAGGGTTGTGTAAGGCATGTAATGGTGGGCCCTATGCCTGTACAATGGCTTCGTATGTTCCTTTAAACTTCGAATATGTCCAGTTCTTTGCAAAGAAAAACCGCCAAATGCAGGAAGTATTAATTCTAACGGGTCTGGCATAAAAGTCATAAAATATAATGAACAATGGATGTCCAATGATCTTCAATCCCTAATAGCCATAACGTGGATTGAAACTCCCCCCTTTACGAAGCCAGCTGCATGCAATCTATTATAAGTTACTACAACCAAGCAAAAAAAAAACGTAATTAAAGGACGATACATACATACAACGATAACCACTATCCTAATTAACCTGAGCAAAAAGTGAAAATGAAGTGCTTATGGTTTTCAAGCATCTCAAACTTAATTTCCGTTGAAGAGACAGATCAAAATCGAAAATAGGCGTGATTCGTATGCGTTACGATTTAATAAACTCCGTTAGCTGCTTGAGACGTGTTTTGCTGCGAGCAATAAAGATTTCGTATAGACGATTATAGCTATTGAAAAACTCAAACGTATATCTAGTGTTTTTAAGTTTACTGGACTAGACCAGATGACATGCACTTTAGAGTTAGTTAACATATAACGAATTTTAAATACCTACATGTTGTACGTGCATGAAGAGTCAACTGCGAAACTGAAAATTCTTCTTCGTATTGAGTATTGAAATGGCTACTAATGTTTAGATCTTCTTCTTCTATTCAGCAATCAACAACCGAAAATTCGTTGAGATATGTAGAAACATTTAGATCTATTTTGCATTTGTTTTGTACAGCACTTCAGACTGGGATAAAGTTGACCTTGTCGAAAATGCGATAAAATTTTTGATAGCAGCTTGCGTAGCTACTGGAGTCTTCGCATTGCTTGAAGGCTATCTTCCCGAAAAACGATGGTCCAATAATTTTTATTTTCAGTTTTTCTTTAGCTGTCAAAAGTAAAGCCATCTCACAGATTCGCGGCTCATTAAGTATGACTTTTAGAAAGGGACCTGGGGTAGAGAGGAAGAGACCAGTGCATTGTCTTAGCAGTTTATTTTGAAAAGTCTGCATTGTTTTGGTAATATAGTCCCGAAGGCTGCAAGTGGTGGAGAGGGACTATTCTATTTTTGAGCGCGCAAATGATTTATAAATTATGAATTCCTTCTTTCTCAAGCTCCGTTCGTAGCTAAACAGATTATTTTACTAGAAGATTTTGGAAAATAAATTGCGTTTGTTTTGTTTGGTTTGAAGTTGAGGTTTAGGTCAGTAGAAGCTTCAAAAAAGAGGTTAGTTTTAGCAGCAAGCTTTCTTAAAAGTTCTTTCAACAGAAACCAATAGAAAGTCACCAGTATATTGCAAAATGTGTGTTTTCCATTCTGAAGTTGATACAGTTTGGTCGTATATAGATAGAAAATACCTTGCGGGAGGTTGACTGAGTGCGGGAGGACGGTTGAACAATTGACAATTGACTCAGATCACGACAATCACAGGCTTTGTTGATGTCAAGAGAGAGCATCATAACTTTTTTCCATCCTCTTTTTCCTTTGAAATTGTGAAAGTTTTGCACAGTTTGATGAACTTGCATTTTTCAT